TCACTGCCAGACTGAGGAAAACCCAAATCTTATCATTCTATCTCACATAGCCTTTTATTCAGTTTCTAAGTAACCACTCAAGCTTTCTACTATCTAGTCTTTGGATATGGATATTCACCCAAGTCCCTATTCAGAGCTAATCAGGTTTTTTACCATCTAGACTTCAAGAAAACTCACTTAAAACCTTTTAACAAGTTTTTCAAAGAACCTTACCTTAATTTGATTTACAAGAAATTTCTTCTTCCTGCCCTCACTTTACTTTACCTCCTAGGATGTCTCTATGAGAATGAAAGCCCTTAAGTAAAAGATAATGTTTCAGGGACATTATTTTGGTTAATCTCCACTGTGGTAAATATAGTAATATTAGTCTTAAATTTTGTGAATCTATGTACCTGTTTTAACCTTGATAGATTGATTTTAAAAATGCTAAAATCTCAACTGAAGGTCAAAACGACCCCAAACTATTCTTAGCAAAAAGGTGACTGTGATCTCAGCTCATTTCATATGCTAATGTCATCCTTCTGCCTGCCTGAAGTGTATAAAATAAACCTCTACTGAAGGCAGAACAGGAAGACTTGCACCCAACTCCCATTCCCGTGTCTTCCTCGTGCCCGCTCCCCTTTTTTCCTTTCCCCCCCTTTTTCTAGGAATCTCCACTCACCGACGCCATTTCCACCTTGAGACCCTGCTTGTTATGCCCCCCCCCCAATAATCCGTGATCGGGGACAAAGTCTCCAACAATCCATATGTTCTTTGGTCCTCCATTTCCACTTGCATCCACTTCTCCCCCACCTGCTTAATACCCTGGGTCCTTACAAAGGACAGCACAGATGCATGATCTGTGAGTGCATCCAAGTTCCCCTTAGACTTTCCATGTCTGCTGTGAAGCTTACTTTCTCACTCAGCATTATGCCTTCAGATTTTGCCAAGCGGTTCTCATCAACTGCATTTCTTCTGCTGCTGCCGCATGTTGTAAAGTGCACATCTTGTGCCCATTTGACTTGTTCACTGCAGTGATGCACAGCTAGACTACCTATGACATAACACTCAGTCCTGTCCTGAGCGTTCCGATGACATGGGGCTGCATGTGACTGTTCTGGGTACAGACATGGGAACACACGTGTTGAGTGAGTCAAGGACGCAGACCTGCTCAGTTTAACTAAGTCCTACCAGCTATGTCTCCAGAAAACTGGCACCAGACCACATGCTCCTTGTTGCCCCCCTGGTAGGCACTACCCAGCTTTTTAATGTTTACTAATCAGGTTGAAGTAATGTGATCCAGCAGTGTCATTTCCATTTGCATTCCTCTAACTTCCTAAGGAGTCTGAGCATCTCTTTATAAGCCTGTTAGCCTTTTGGATTTCTTCTTGTGCAAACTATTTATAACCCTTCCTTATTTTTTCCTGCCTGTCTTTTTCTTGTTGTCTTGCCAATGTGTGGTCTAGAAACTGGTCCCTTGTTGGTTTTAAAAACTGCAAATATCTTCTCTACACTCATTTTTCTTATAAATTAGTTCATAACTTTCTTTCTGTCACAAAAACATATCATGAATATTTTCCATGTTGTTAAACATCTTCTCTGTCTTCATTTTTATGGCCGTGTGGTGGCCATGGTGCCACGTTGATCATTTATTTAACTAACTGCCTACACTTAGGCATTTAAGTAGTTTCCACTTATTCATTACTATAAACAATACTGCAATGACAAGCTTTGTGTCTAAGTTCTATACATTCATGATTAAATAACAGATTATCATACATCCTTACATTTCAAAAGGAATAGTTGGATCTACAGGTCAATGGAATTTCTAGGGTCTTGACACATACATCTGAACACCCTCTCCCAAAATATCCTACCAATTGTATAGTCTCGCTTCCAAGGGTTTACAGGAATTCACACATCCTTAGTTATCTTTTTTTTTTTTTTTTGCCATTTTTGCTGATTTGACAGGTAAAAGCAATGGCATCTCTGATGTTTCCCCCACATGTTGTATTGTAATGTGTTTCTGTGTCTGCTGCTCAGTCTCCTGCAGATTTCCCTGCAGTGGTTTCCTGGAGTCAGACCCAGGTATTCTCACTTGAGGAGTTGCCAACACGAGATCCCTGGTGTTCTCTAAGACTCTAATGCCCCTTGAGAGTCATGTACCCACTAAGTGTTAGCTCTATGAAGAGAGATCATTGTGCATCTACTAGGGGCTGGTCAATAAAATGTTGCTCTATAGAAGAAAAAAATGAATTCACTAACCTAGATGCTGATGCCACCCAAATTTCTCTCTCAGGCCCAGATCACTCTTCTAAACTAGTTCTTGATGCTCACTCCAAGATTTCTACTTAAATTTCCCCTGGGCTTTAAAAGTCTCCATCTGATCATCACCCCAAGACTAGTCTATTACAGTCCAGTCAAGGGAGGTCGTTTGGTGACCACACCTGTGGGCATCAATCACCAGTGCATTCAGTGAAAGTTGCTTACATGCCACACTTTCAGGATTAGCAGATGAGAAGTCAGTGAGCATCAAGGGAGAGTGTGAAAATGGACATCCCAGAGAGATATGTAGAACCAGCTGTCCTCTGAAGTTAACCCAAGTTTACTGAAGTGAAACACTTCAATTGTGTTTCCTTGAATAGACAGATTTTTGAAAGACAAGAATTTTTGACACATGGGCATCTGTGAAACCCTGTGGAGAAGACGTCTGCCCAAGTGTTAAGCTGTGGCCTTCCTTAGTCCTCTCTCTGCTCACTGCCCCAGCCCTATTTGCTGTTCTTGGGAACAGCAAGAAAAAAAATCACTCCAATTCAC